TCTTCGTCCGGCTGAGCGTGACTCAAACGATTCGGGCCAGTTCGGGCCAGTTCGGGGTCAGATCCTTATGGGTCTTTTGGGTCTTCTGGGTCTTGGATCAGGTTTAAACAAGAAGGACTTTCGAGGTCTCTTAAGTCTGGACGACTTTCGATCGGTGCTTAGGTCGGAACGGTCTCCAGTCGGGGCGAAGCGGTAGGGCCTGGTGGGGGCTCTGGTGGCCGCCGGTGGATGGTTTTCCGGCGACCGACCATGTCGATATCCAAGGTTTTCCCTGTGGAAGGAAGAATAGGTCGTCTTGCGGATCTGGTGGCGTCAGAACTTTTTGGGCGACTGTGCGGATTAGGAAGAATAGGTCGTCTGGCGTTGTTGGCTTGGTCTCAAACCTTGCTAGCAATTCTTGAAACAGAATCCAGATATTGTTCCTGAGCCATCCTCTACGATCTGAAGATTTGGCGGATACACCTATTGGACCTATTGCTTCAAAGCTCTTTTGTCGGCTCAAAATCCCTAATGTATCTAGTTTGTATCTGTCTCTGTGAGTCTGTCGCTTGGGGGATTTGGGTCTCCCTCGTTCTATCCCAACACGACCGTCGCGTCGTCGCGCTCGACCGACGCGTCCTTCACCCAGGCTATGGCCGCTTGTACCTTGGGCAACTCGAGCCCTTCCAAACGCAGCTGCAGGTCCTCACAGGCGCCACGCGAACGCGTGGACGACGCCGGTGTCCGGCGAAGAAACGGGACGAAGGGGGTTTAGACGGCGCCGACGGAAGTGAACTGTCCAACTTAGGGGGTTTAGACGGGTTTAGAACTGAGACCCGAATCCAACCGTACCTCCCAACAATCTCAAGTGCAGTTTTCCCAAGACCACCCCTTTTTCGTTCGGAGTGTTGGTGGTGAACATATTATGTTGGGTGTTTGTTTTTCTAGAACGAAAGCAGCCATGAATGGAAGGCCGCGATAACATTCTAAAATATGCTGCTTGACCGAACACTGAAGTAGTTGCATAGCCAGAAACGCAAACAAAACGACATCCATCAGAAAAGCATCAGTTATTTTTGGTCCTGTCTACCGTCTACCCAAGATCCTTTTTGAGAACCTTTCTCGATCTACACGAGCTGCGAGTAGAACTGCCAGTCCTTTGCTCGACTGCTCGTAAAAGCTTCATCGGTTGACAGGGACGCGATTGGACAGCCGTGACCATTTGCTGGCGTACTTGAACAACTCGTGAGCTCAGGGCGTGGTTGCACTCTAAAAGTTTCGAAAGTTTCGAGTGACATGCACTCAACACTTGGTGATTGCAAGTCCGGCGAGTCGTTTTTCAGGAGTTGGTGCTTCTTTTCTTGAGGTTTGTTTCATTTCAGCATGGAACAAGTCACGCCCCAATGTCCAAGACTTGTTCAGATGTCTTGTCTAGTGTCTTCTTTGACAATATAGACCTTCTAACTTCGAGAACATCCAAGAAGTAAACAAAAGGGATATATTTGAAGCAGTGGTTGCATATACTAAGGAACGATCCAACCTTTTTCTTCCAGCCTTCTTGACAAACATTGATATTGGTTAGACCTTCTGGATAGAACAGACCCTGGGGCTTGCCGATCACATCGCTCCCGGATCACATCACATGCTGATTGGATCCACCACAGGCTGTGTTTTTGATGCATTCACTGCCTGCCCAACAGGGGAACATGACATCTACAGACAGTGGCCTTTACAGACATGTACAAGACTTTCATCAACAAACACAGCGACCTGACACAGCGACCGGGGACATGAAACACTGAAAGACCTGCGACCTGACCTGCACCTGACCTGGGACTCTCGGAGTCCGGTCGACCGGCCGCGCCGGGTTCCGAGCGGCCAGCCGCTTCGCCCCGGGCGTGGCCGGGGCTTCGCCCCGGCGGGTCTGGAAACATGGGGTGATGAAAGACCTCCATTTCCATCAAGTGTGTTCTTCTTTTTGGGGTTGTTTTTCTATGGTCAAGAATGAAGTTTGGTGGAAGAAATCATCTGTTCTGATTCCGTGCCAACTTCAGGAGGCACCACTTGCCGTGGTATGAGCTCATTGCCCTTTTTCTTCTCTTTCAGCTCCTTCTTCCTTTGCCGTTTCTTTTCTTTCTTCATTCAGACCGCCCAACACCGACAGCGCTTTTCTCCCTTTCGATGGGATTTCTCCTCCACTTCGCCCCGCCCATCCTCTGTCGTTCCCCGCGCATGTGAAGGGATGCAGCACGCGCGAGGGATGCACTCTACAGCGAGGTACGGTGAGCAGCTGTTTCCGAGATTCTTGCGGATCCAGGCAAGTCATTCCCGGTCGCGAGGGAGGCAGCAACGTCCGGCTCTCTTTGCAGCGGAGATTGCGGTCGGGTTGGTCCGTCCTTGGGTTTCGTGATTTTTGGTTTGGTGATTTCTGGTCCAAACCCCGGAATCGTCAGTTTGTTTTGCCACACCCACACCATACAACTGTGTTTGGTGCAGCAAAATAACCATTATCAGCACTAGAATAAAGCTCCAGCCACAGCCACTCGGTGAACATATCATGGATTGTCTTGTTTTTGTTCCTCCTTTCTCCATCTTGAGGATAGATGATATCATATCGAACCGGTAACAATCTCAAAGAAACGAAGCTGGATAAACCCATGTGGCCGTGTGTTGTCGCCTTTTTCACCGCCCAACAAGTCCCCCCACCACAGTTTCGTTGTCGCCGAGCCTCTGCGCTGAGGATCTGAGCAACGCGGCGCCGGGAGCCTCTTCAAAGGTGCGCTCGATGAGCTTCACCGACGAGGCGGGCTCCGCGGGTGGAGAGATGTGGGTGGCGAGATGTGGGACTCGGAAGGGCCATGGTTGGATAGATTGGAATGATCAATATTGAATATTGCTTATATAATGTATAATCATTTCTATGTTGTTCATATACAATATATTACACATACTTATTCTGGAGGGGCACGGAAGAAGATCGGAGTTTCTTTGAGATGTAGATTCGTTTCCGCAGAAACTGCGCGGTTGGTGCAGTTTCTTTTAGTTACAAAGGCCAGAAGCCTGAACCACCAGAGCCCCGTCAAAGGGTGTCTATTAATAGGCCTGTAGAGGTTATATAAGGGGGGGGTGTTTTCCATTCTATCTTTCCATTTTGACAGGTGCTCAAGCATGTAAAGTCTTTGGAGACTTGCTCAACAGGAGGGACTATCCAAAGCTGAGACTTGAATCAAACCGTGGCCGGCGCTGGTGTCATGGGGGTTGTCGGGCCGTGTGCCTCAACCAATGAAGTGTCCAGGCAGTACCTTTGTTGACAGCAAGGCATGCTACGGCCTTTTTTAGACTGCCCATGGTGAAGGACGGTTGCTTTTAGAGAAGCATCAGGGTTTTGTAGTGCACATGTGTTCTCAGCCGGTGACCGGAGAAACGCTGTTGACGACGTGATCTTCGCCACCTCGACCTTTTCGCCCGCCCGGTGGCGCCGGCGCGCCAGAACCAATTCTATGGGGAGATTGCTGGGATGGTGCGCTGGGTGCCAGGGTCAGTGACCGCGGGGAGGCCGAGGAAAAAACTGCCGAGCCCTTGGAGCCTTGGTTGACGTGTGAACGAAACGGCGAAACGGCGAAACGGATGGATCACGGCGGTGTGGAATCAAGGAATGTGACTGGGTGGATTCTTGGTGCCCCAATTCTTTGTTGGTCCGACCTGGTTTTTGGGGGAACGCTTCGCTTCAGCGATTCGAACCCATGGCCGAGTGCCGCTGGCCCCCCGAGACGATCCACACAGAGCCACGGAGCGGACACCGCACAGGTCGCCCGGTACTTTGCCATCTACGTGGCGCAAAACTCCAGCGGGAAGAACCAAGTGCAGGTGCCGAAGGGTGTGCTGCCTGGTGGTGCCTGGTGGTAGAAAAAGTGGGGTGAACCTGCGCGGTCGCGGGTTCATTCATGTCGCGGGTCGTGGTCGGTGAAACGAGCGGCAGGGTCGCGAGGGGCTGAGGTTGGTGAAGATGCCATGGTTGAGATGTGGTGAACGTGGAGGGACGTGGGATTGGTGAGGGACGTTGGTGAGAAAGCTCTTGAAAAGATCTTTTTTGGGTCGTACTTGTAAGCGTCTCCAGGCTTCTAAAAACCTCCACTCCAAGCTCCAAAACCGGTGCAGTCTTGTTTCGAACCTGTGGGCTCAGCCGGCTTTTCGCGGGTCCAGCGGCACCAGGTGAGCCCAGAGGTTCCCGTGGACCAGGGGGACGAGTGGTACATTAACGTGAGGAGCACCCAGAGGTGAGTGAAGTCAGAGTGCGGGGAGTGCAGGGAGAGAGAGGCGTTGCAATTGGGGGGGTGCTTTTAGCATGCTTTTATATAGTGTGCTTTCGTTTTGTTTCGTGGGGTTTTGAAGGAAGCATGACATGCAGAACAGCGTATGCCCTTCGATCTAGTTGAGTAAGGTTGAGTGGCAAACATAGTTGCTGTCCAGAATGGACAGCTAGTGTGCATCGCATAGAAAGTAAGAGGCACAACATAGATTTGCTTGTCCCTTGAACTGGGGGAAGGGCAATGAAGGCTTTGACATGTGAATACACCCCTGTCGGCCGACGATTGGCCGAGTTTGCTTTTGACAGGCTTCCAAACGAAAAAATACAGGCCTCACTCATTGGCCTTTGTGGTCCGGATCAAGCTGCTTTGAAAGCTTTCTGAAGCTTGACATTCTCAGCACCCTTTCGTTCTTTGTCGAAAAAGCTCGATCATGGCTCGGTTCCAAGTGGTCGTGCTTGCCTTCCTCTTTGTGAACTTCAATTTGACCGGAGCCAAACGCACCGTGTTTGGTTCCGGCAACTCCATGGATGTGGCTTCTTCTGTCCCAGAGTCTGACTCACTCTTGGACCTGGACTGTGATGTGGATGCCGAGGACCAAGAGATCTATGGTCCAAAGCTTCAATCCAGGCTCTGCCCCAAGATCATTGGCTGCAGCTTCTGGGATGCTTGCCGTCGACTTGAAGACAAGTCATGCCCCAGTAACTGCAGGCCATGGAAAGAGGAGGTGAGCCAATCCCGGCTCCTTCGCATGTACACCTGGGTGAAGCGCAAGACCTCTGGCTCCTGCCCAAGAGCCTTGGCGGTGGGATGGTAGCGAGGTCACGGGCAATCCCATTTAAGCAGTAAAAAACATTTATCCGCACAGTGGCAGAGGTCGATCCCTTTGATTTTTGAGCCTGTGTGGCCTTCGCTGGGTTGAGATGCCCAGGAGGCCCAGCCAAAAGAGGGTCCAATTTTCCAAGCATCCTTCTGCGAGACAACGCGATGGAACATCACCGGTTACCTTCGCTGCCAAAAACCGGGACCAGCAGTGATTGTAAGGGCCCCTCATTGCTAGGTTGACGGGGAACCCAGGTGATCCAAGAAGGATGACTACCCCCCCAGGCAGCCTGGGTCTCTCCTTAAAGCTACGTTCCACAGAACCCACCTGATCTACAGATCAATGCATGTCGAACCCGACCCATATTCAGATGTCACCAATTGACCCCGCACGCTTTGGAAAACATGGCATCTGGATATTGTGAGGATATTGCCGCTACAAAGACGAGGAGATGTTGAAGCCCGGGGTTTCCAGTGGCTTCATGGCCTCCTCTGCTGCCGTCTTGGCCACGAACGTGCCCACGCTGGTGGCTGAGTGCAGCGGCAGCATCGCATCGTTGACGCTGGGCCGGGAGGGCAGGGGAAGCGGGCAGTGGGGCTGGAACAGGAAGTGTGTTTTTGTTTGTTGTTCCTGGGCTTGTGTCCTTTTCTTGCAGTTTGCAAGCCGGTTGCCCTTAGGGCCGGTGCGTCCTCTCTGCTGGGTCTAGTGCAGTCCTGCTGGACTGGCAGAGTTGGGGTGGGCACAAACTTGTTGGTGTAAGCTGGCCAAAGACCTGAATCTAGATTGTTGAAACGGTCGGTTTCGTGGTCACAAACTTGTATTATATATATATATGTATATATATATATTATAGCAATTCCAGTATGTCTTAGTCAAAGTTTGTGGGACGAAACCATGCCCCATGATACCCCTGACTTGTCATTTCATGTGAGGTCAGTGTGTGTTAGATACATTTCTTGGATCTTTTTGGGGACTTTTCCGATAATCGTCGCGCATCTTTGTAGGGAGCGATTTGTCCGGGAAATCCGATCGAGCTTTATAGCTGACGGCGGACGAAATCATGCTTAAAAAGGACTCGCCAAGAGGAAACTGGGAAGTTGTGGTGGGAAGATGACAGTGTCTTGACGAAGAAGTCGGGTTTAGGCTCAAGATATTTCCCAAGATCTTTCAACGCCTCATGAACTACTCATCGTCTGGTGTTCATTTATGGCAGGAAACAATTGTGATTCCATGTGATTCCATCACCGGGGACTTGATCTAAAGACTCTGGGCTGAAACTTCAATTAATTGAATGTTTCCAATACGGATTTTTCATCTGAGCTTGGCTGTTCACCAAGCGTCCTCTCTGCAGCTGGAAGTTTCTCAAGTTGACGGTCCATGCCCAAACGGGCCTCGACCCTTCAAGTCACTTGAAGTCTCACCTTAATTCTTTTCGGATGGGTGTGGGTCAATCCGACCCTAGGGTCAAGCAACTATGATCGGTTGAAGATATTTGGTCGTGTTCATTCATGTTTGGCCCACCATAATCTCGGTTCGCCAGATTGAAAGACATCATCTCAGGAGTTGCATCAACCAAATGGCCGAAGCCTCCTCCGTGATGGGCTTCATTGGTCGTGCCATCTCCAAGGCAAAAGAACTGGCCAAGGAGGGGAAGATCAAGGAATGCAAGGAGGTGGGAGGATCAAGAGTGTGCTTCTTCAAAGCTTTGGTGTTGCTGTGAACCTTTAAGCCACTAGATTTCAAATGTCAACCCTGTCACTAGATTTGAGTGCTTGAAGTAGTGGTTTAACTAACCCCTACATTTCTTTCCACTCTGTTTGAGGTCTTGCCGGACAGCCTGGCTAGTGGCCTTGGTGACAGTGTCGCTCAATATATCGGCTTCCTGCATCAGTTGGGCGGAATAGACGCCACCCTGCTGGAAGAGAAGGAGGCCACTTGCAGGCAGAAGTAGATTACTTTTTTGATGCCACATATTCTTTTCTTTTTTAGTGTGTGTCTTTTTTGGTACCGGATCGTTGGTGCATGTCAAGGACCCTAGAACATGTCATTAGCAGTTTTCCTTCCATCTGTCCTTCATTTCACCCAAGGTGGGCGCGTCTAAAGCGAAGAAGCAGGAGAAGGCCAAGTGGGGGTGGGTCATTTGACAGCGAAATCGCTACCGAACGACCTTCAGACCTTCTTTTTCAGACGGCTTGGCTGTAGCTCTTGGGCTTGGCTGTAGCAGCGTCCGAGGCAACCAAGGAGGTCCTGCAGCGCAAGACCTTCGCACGGATCTGCGAGGAGCCCAACGAAGGGGACGTGAAGCTGGCGAAATCGCTGAGTGAGGAGGACCTGAAGAAGGTGGTGGAGAAGGCGAGCTGCGACATGCTTCCAGACGGCTTGGAAGAGGTTTCTGGAAGAGCTGTCGGGAGCTAGGTGGGAGGTGAGACCAAGCATCGAAGATGATCATTCAACAACGCTTCATGTGGCCGCGAAGTTAGCTGGTCAGGTCGGGTTGGGGGCTGATGGGTGAGGGTGTGGGTGCAGTTCCGGCATTGGCATGATGGATTTCGCAACAAAAATATATTTCCACATACAGTATTTCCACTACCAAAGACTTTCAGAGCTCTGCGCGATCGGTTCCAGTTGTTACAAGGACTAGGTCTTCGTGCAACAGACTCTTAGCGCCACAGGTCCTTGTGCAGCAGGCAACAAAAGAACAGACGTGTCCCCAGAGCTTCAGTCGGACATGGCGTCCCCAAGTACCAAACCCATCAGGGACCACATCCCGGGCTATCAAGGTGGCTGAATCACTTGACTTCAGTCGGGGAGAGGGTCTACCTTCATTGCTTCAGCTTCCCCGGTGCTTCTGTAGTTGAATACATCTTTAGCTTGTGCCATGATTTTCATCGACGTACTTTTCCTAGACCCCACGAAAACTTGACTTGTCAGACTTGTGGCGCATGAGCACAAGACTGCGCACAGAGGCCTCCAAGGGCATTATGACGGCAGAGCAGGCTGACAGCGTTGCGAAGAAGATCCAAACTGAAGGAGTTGAGAAGCTCTCTGATGAGCTTCTTACTCAAGAAGAAGAGGCGATCCGTCGCTTTGACCTGTCGGCTATCCTGACCCTGGTGTGTCCTGGGTGTGTGTGTGTGCCCCTTGTAGTCACAGGGATTCTTTTGAATTGTAATGCGTTTTGTTTTTAGCAGGGGGGTGCAGAGCACAGTGGAGACTGCACCCAACGAAGCTATCCACTTGTGCTGGAAGCAGAGCCTGATCAGCTCTGTGTACCTGCTTGAATTTTAAGATTTTGTGAAGGTCTCATGCACTCTGCAGACACGAACGGCCGTCGTCACCCTGTCGTTTCGACCTCGACTTGGGAGTTTGGCCCTTTCTCCGTTTGAGGACCCCGAGGTTCCAGTGGTTTCCTACTTGTACTCTTAGGAAATGGTACCCTAGGCCGGCGTGTGGCACCGCTGTCCGTCAGTACGCATATCCATATGTGTGTCTCTCTCCCGTGAGAGTCCGGGATGAGCCCGTAGAGTGCCTCCCGTGGATCCGTCGAACGGGTGTCTGTCCATGTTCCCCGGCTTTGGGAACGTAGGTGTCCGGAGCGGACAGCAGGTGGCCTAGGCCGAAAGAACTCAGATTTTTTTGTCTCATCTTTGGAATTCCAAGCTGGCTCATGCCTTTACGTGACCGCAGCGGTCAAAGCAGCCAGCCATTTTGGCAAGGCACAAGGTGACCATAGCGGTCAAAGCAAGTTTAAGGTTCATTGGAACCTGTCCCACTCTCAGGTGCACACACAGCGCTTACATTCAAACGAGGCAGGTCCCTAGGTGCTTCTAATGAGGCTTGGCTTCATCGGTTCTCGTCCCCTCCATTTGGTTCCCCTTTCATCCCTTCCCCTTTACACACTTTTGCTTCCTCTTTTCTTTCATGTCCTCCTGTTTTCATGTCTGATCATCTCATCCTTTTCTTCGTTTGCGCGCACATTGGTCCCGGCCTTAGTGTGTACGTGCACTTCTGCATACATTTTAACACAGGTTTCAGGCCGCCCAGGTTTTTACAATGAGGTGGGCTTCATCGGGTGTCCCTGTGCACTTGGTTCCCCTTTCATTTCAACCACATGCATTTTTGTCACGTTTCGTCCTCCTGTCATGTCTTCATTCTTTTGTCTCTTCTGCGCGCTCTCGTGCACATTTGCCCTTGCCTTAGCTTTACGCCTCCCCTCGAGGAGGCGTGTGTGTGTGTGCCCCTTGTAGTCAGCAGAGCCTGATCAGCTCTGTGTACCTGCTTGAATTTTAAGATTTTGTGAAGGTCTCATGCACTCTGCAGACACGAACGGCCGTCGTCACCCTGTCGTTTCGACCTCGACTTGGGAGTTTGGCCCTTTCTCCGTTTGAGGACCCCGAGGTTCCAGTGGTTTCCTACGTGTACTCTTAGGAAATGGTACCCTAAGCCGGCGTGTGGCACCGCTGTCCGTCAGTACGCATATCCATGAGAGTGTGTGTCACCCTCCGTCTCCAGGAGTTTGCAAAGAAAATATGCAGGGGTACCAGGCATCTTGCTGCTGACCTGGTCTAACAAAGCTAGGCAGCGAGATGGGATGGTGGAGTTGGCCACTCCACTGTACCTGCGCCGTGTCACTACCCCAATTTTTCCTCGCTGTGTTTTTGTTCCATGGTTTTTCCATGATATACCCCGAAACCACCCCCGCCGCTTTCTGCAGCTGAATCACCGCAGCCTTCCGCAGTCACGTGCAACATTGTTGAACATTTCAGTTGAGGTGATTCTGTGCCTTTCCGTTCCCACATCCATTTCACTGTGGATTAGGATCACTGCAAGCCCTGTGACTAAGTGTGTATCGCTGTGTATTCCCACTGGGTACACAGTGTGATCCTCTCGCAAGAGAGGCGCTGAAGCCATCGTGGACCACATATCATAACCGCCATCACTTAGTACCTTTCCAGTATCATACTGTATGCCTACAGCACCTTCATCGGAACACCTGCCGGCTGCTCAGACCGTGCCCACACAACAGGCACCGCCCACCATCAATTTTCTTCCCTCCAACATCCCCGGCCCAACCTACATCAGCTGCTCCTCACAGCAAGGAGTTTGGCAAACTCAAACCGTTTTCAGCTTTTCCGCCAGTCCAATCCTCTCCTCCAACCACTGGCGGTCGGGCCAGCTCCACCGCAGCCACCTGGCCCCCAACCAGCTCCCACCCCGCAATCCCCAAATCAGCCCACACATCCTGCCGTAGCCCCACCTCCACCTGATGCCACCACTGCACAGGCCAGCGCCGCAGCAGCCGGCCAAAAAGCTGAGCAATCCGCTGCGCCGGCAGCGCAGCCACTGGCCCTGATGTGAAGCCTCAGCCCATATCCCTCTCCCGTGGACGACGTCGCCGACGACACCATTCCAGGCGTCATCGACGGCGCCATCGCAGGCATACCCGCCACCAATCCAGCCATCGACGACGACGCCGCAGAGCTTCGTTAACCCATACACGAGCACCCACTGAAGACTACTCAACGACATCCTGCGCCTCCAACTCTCCATCCCCCCGATCCTGCAGCCGCACTCCAGCATAATCCATCGCAACCAGATCGCTCTGCTCCCCAACCCTGAACTGACTATCAGACCTCAGGCACCCAATGCCCTGATTTATCCAGCGATGCGAAGGCCTCGCAATCCTTGGCGAGCCCCAACCCAGTTCTCTGCCAAACCACCACAAGAACAACTTGAGAACTGGCTCAATTTCCACATGCAGCAAGTTCGCGCCCCCAACATCCCTCAGAACCCTTTCATTGCCAAACTTCTCGTGGACAGCGGCCTGACCCACAACGATGCTTCTGATTTCCAGCGCATCAAGTCGAACGACCAAACTCACAGTGGGATCTCCACCGATACAACACCATCAACACCCACACACTGGCCAACAAGGCTCACCAGAAGTTCCCACCAACCCCACAACGCGAGACCAACGCACAACCAGCGATCACCCACGTGCTCGGAGGACACGCCGGTCTCCTTGGCAACGTGATCCAGATTTTGCAGCAAGGCCGTTTTCTGCCTAGCGCCCTGGCCCTACACTTTTCACACAACCCGGGCTTCTTCAAGGCTTTAAGGCCACACACACACACACTCTCTCTCTTACCCTCACAACTTTATTGAACGAGCACGCATCATCCGGGAGGAACATGCGGCCAATCTCCTTCACCAAGGCCATGGAGCAGTCTTTCACACCTGCAGCAAATGTTGGGTGATTCACCCTCAGAATGCCATAGTGAAGGGCCTAGCGTGGGCCACTGACTTCATGCCAGCCCAGGGTGTACCCGAGCAGTCTCCCCTGTGGCCACGTCGAACGGTCGAACGTGGGTTTGTCCATGTTCCCCCGGCTTGGGAACGTACATGTCCGGAGCGGACAGCAGGAGGTTTAAGCAAAAGTCATTTGCCAAGACTTGAATTATTGCATTTGAGTAGGCAGCCTTCGGGCAAGCCATGAGGTGACCATAGCGGTCAAAGCTGCCCGCCATTTTGGCATGGCGGAAGGTGACCAGAGCAGTCAAAGCTTTTTAAGGTCCGTTGGGACCTGCCGCAACCTTAGGTGCACGCACAGCGTGTTCATTTTAAATTAGGCCAGGTCTACGTAGGTTTTTCTAATGAGGCCTAGTTTTGTTGCCATTCCTTGCCCTTCACACACTTCTTCCTTCCCCTTTTTCTTTTCATGTCTTTCTGCCTTCATGTTCCGTCATCTCATCTCGTTCGTTCTTTTGCGCGCGCAACGGCCCGGGTACGCGCGCAACTTACCCTCAATCCAGGTTTCAGGTCGCCCAGGTTTTCACAATGAGGTCTGGCTCACTGGTTCTCCCTGTGCCCTTGGTTTCCCCTTCGTCGCAACCACACACACTGGTTGTCCCGTCTCCCTCTCATGTCTTCATTCCTTTGTCTTCTTTGCACGCGCGCATGTGCATTTGTTTGCGCCTTAGTCCACACCTGTGCATAGGGCCCCTGGTTTTGCTACTAAGGGCTCCTGGTATCGCTACTACCATATAGTTTCTCAGCGCGGAAAAAAAAGAGGCAGGGGGCCACAGACCTACCACTGCTGCTGTGGCCAACGAAGACCGGCAGTGGTAGGTGTGAAAACGTACCTGCAAAACTGTTTAGAACTGTTTAAAGCGGCTAGTGCATAGGCGGTCTGCTAGGTATTCAGTAAAACGGCTACTGCATAGGCGGTCTGCTAGGTATTCAGT